AGGGGGCGAGCGTCGGCATAATTTGTAGCGTCACACTGTTTATCTCACTTATAATGCATGAGTTGGCAGCCTATGGAGCCTGAGCAGATGTGTGGACATGCACTGCAGTGCTGAGAGGTAAAAGATGAAAACTGTTTTTAAAAAGTTGCCATACATTTAAAAGTCTAACCCATTTGTATTTTGTCTTTTTTTTTCTGATTTAGCAAAGCCTACTTTGAACGCAACCCAGTGTATTAATTCGACACCATATCAGAAGCCCATGCATGCACTGTGTATCCATTACATTTCCTGTAGCCAGTTCTGTATGGCATTACATCCTATGTTATTGTAGAGCATTTGACTGTTGCGAAATGTGACCACTTCCTCCTCTGTCCCCTAATAAGGAGAAAACAATATGACTCATCCAGTGGAAAAACGACCCCGTGCACCGAAGATCCGAAAGCACATCCACCGACAGCGCGCCATGCCAAGCATAAGCTGTCTTATTATAGGCCTGAGTGGCACATGAATAGATGCAGCACTCTGCTTTACCTCTGCCCTCAATTAATTCATATGAATCCAGCCACCATGTATTAAAATGGCCAGATGCTAGGATGGATTCAGTTGGGAGCAATGACATGCAACAAAGTGATATGAATCACGCCCCCCCCCACCAGACACACACCCACACACCCATGGTGTGCAGCAGCACACTCTCAAAGGGCCAGTGACACAATTTAGAGATAAAGCAAAACAAGACACGGCCACTTAAAGTTTAAGTCACAGCTGACGCGGATTTAAACAGGATGCGTTCGAAGTCGACTCGTGATCTTAATTTCACCCGCAGAACCCGTCCATGTAAATTCTGCTCTTAAATAGAAATGTTAATATCAGATTCAATCTAAGACCAGAAATGCAAATAGGCGGCTCTGTTCCACGAGTCAGGCCATGTTGAATATTCAAACAAAGATAATTATCTGTGGATTAGACCCATTTTGGCTTTGATGACTTCTCTTGTCAACTGACTTTTCATTGAATTCCTCTAATCCTTTGTTTAAAAAAAACCCTGTAGTTTGCCTCCTTGTGAAAGCACGTATGTCTCATTTAACAGATCACATTGCTTGATTTTCTAGAGACTGGATCAGCGGTCGCTTTTCTTTCTTCATGGTCCATCTTGAAGCAGGTTAACGCTCAGCAGTTTGCAATATTCAAGCCGTTAGCAGCGGTTTTTTAGACATGCTATGCATCAAATAGGTGCTGGCAACTTTTCACACTCCATCTTGTAGATTTGGGCCTCTTGCGAGGTGATATCTATAAGAGCAGCTAAACGCAAGGGTGGTGAGAAAGCGAAGACCCCCGGGCCATTCGCGGGAGCAGAATGATTGAACACGTCGTGATGTTGGTCCCGTAGCTCGCAGTGCTTTGGCCCGACTTTCTCCTCTGACGTGGGCTACTAAACATCACCTATTTCTCATTCTGCACAAGCCTGCGTCAGTCTCCCCTCGTACTTAGCCATTCATTATCAGCTCTCTGCAACTGAAACAAAAGCTGTGGCATTTCAAAGATTACCTGTACTTCAGTAGGGCTGTAGAGCCCCGTTTTCCCCCCCACCTCTTTTGAAACGACTCCTATATCTACGAACATCTCCACCACTGCATACATAAACAGCCAGCCTACAGCAAGAAAGTGTTCGCAGAAAAAACAACAACAACAGAAAATGAATCAAAGGCCATTCAAGAAAGAAAATCATAGTACATCTATATTTAGCTTCTGTAGTCTTAATTGGCATGAAGAGTACAATCAGATAAGCCATTTGACTGTGACTCACATGCTGCTTCAGGAGAGGGAGAAATATCATTTACCGGCTTTGGTCTCTTACCAAGGTTTGTTTTTCTTTTTTTTTTAGTAAACCATGAACCTTAAAGTGTCTATCCGACCGGTATCTCCTATCATTGCACTAACAGACATTTGTTAGACACACAAACAGTGTCGACCCACTTCATCTACACGTTTTTTTTTCTTTGATCACAGAAGGACTTAAGTCCAGGTTGTTGAGCGTTTTATCCGTGCCGCACTCACAAAGCCGCCTACCTTTACTCTCCATGTCACTCCCATGTTGCCCCTATATTACTAACTGTGTAGCGCTGGTCCATCTGGGCTCTGTGAGGTCACTGCACACGCCACCTGCTCCGATCAGGTTTCGCCTTGGCTCCTGGTTGGCATCTCTGGGCACGCGTGGAGAGGCAGATGTATAGATTTAGTGGTACACATGCCCTCACATGCCTATAAGCGTAGCATACACACACTCATATGGTATGCACGCACACACACACGCACGCTGAGCATACACTGGTTTTCCTTGAACATAATCGGTGCAGTTTACAATTTGCATTTCCAGCTTTGTGTGCAATTTTGTGTTTAATGAGATTTATTGTATGTGGATCGCTAATATTGGGAGGCAGCTGCTCCTTGCATGCAGGTTGGCTTAACAGACTTACAACGCGCGCACACACACGCATGCACACACAATCGGATAGGGGATGAAATATCCCGTCGAGCGAGTTTCTTATTGCAGAAATGTATTGTCAGAATTGAAGTTATTTCCCGAGAATAATATCCAAACAAGAAAATGCTTACATCTTAACAAGTGCTATTTGTTTACAGTCTAATGCAATAGTGTGGGTTTGTAATAGCATATTTCATTAAAACGCTGAGAAAATTCCCGACTGACGCTTAACTCCTGACGGCTTCAGTGCAGAACTGAGCTGTAATGGATGATGAAAGGGAGACAATAACATTTAGCACACAGTGAATTACTCCTGCTGAATTCCTGTCAGTGCTCCAACAGAAAAACCACTCTGTTTGAAATGTCCACAAAGCTTTTGTTTTTATTTTACTGAGGCACTGTTGCCTATACACCTCTTGTTTACACTGTATACATGGTTAATACTGCCACCTGTCCTTTTCTTTATTGCCTCTGAATGGACAAAGAATTACTTTCCAAAAGGCAGAATTACCTTCTTTGTATTAATTATTATATGCCAAAAAAACAAAGCTGTTTTTTCTTTTTTTTTTCTTTTTTTTTCCAGTCATGAAAGAACAAACCTATTTTTGAATCTAAAAGGAAGGATTTCAAATGATTTAACCCCCATATTTACAGAAAATAATGCAAAGTAATGCTTGTGATTGTTGAATTGAATACTCTGTTTGGATTTGATGACATCACCACTTTCACAGCTGCCTGACCCGGTTGAAGATCTCACAGCTAATTAGGTTAATTGGTCAGTAATATGATTAGGTGTACAAAGAGCATGGCAGTGAGTCTTTAAGTAAACACTGCAGTGTTGATCTGTGAATATCAGCCGCTGTGCATTTTCACACCACATGCTGCTGAACCTCTGCACAGTAATGTTGCATTTTCTTTCTTACTATTTATGTTTATTTTTATACCTTTAGCTTAATCTTTTGAACACATGTAGAACTGCAAACCATATATGACTGCACTGCATGATAAATGTTTGGTAATGACAATAAAGTCTAGTCTATTCTACGAAGTAAAGACGGGAACAGTTTATCACTCTGCACAACCAAAGAGTGCAGCAATTTCAGAACATTTTCAGTAATTCAAACATTTAAACATTCTAATATCATTATTATTATCCCCTAATTATAATTCCATTATTGGATTTAGCTGGCAAGACCGAAAGCCAATTTTTTTTATGGCTGCGTTGCTGCATGAAGTTGAGAAAAACCTCTGAGAATCACTGTCAGTGAAGAAAGAAAAGAAACACATAAACAAGGTTGAAAGGACAACACGTGCAACAGCCTCATTTAAAAATGTACTCTGAGGGCGTCAGGAAATCATCCTGCGGTATGATGGTTCAGGATTAGAGGTTCTTTCTGAAAATCATGGACACTGCATCCTCCAACCCGAAATCCTGCAGCTTTGTTATCTTGATGTAGGTGTGCATGAGCATGCACATCTGCGAGGGCACCATTAACGCTGAACAGTCTCTGCAGGATTCGGATCAGCATGTGCTGCCGACTAGATGACATATCTTTTAGGCAGAGACTGGCTTATTTCAGTAAGACGGTGCCAAACCACATTCTGCGCATATCACAGCAGCATGTCTGCAGGGGGGAAAAAGAGAGCCGGGGGCATGGGGAGGGGTTGTAAAACGGGAACAGATCAGGCTGAGAAAGTACTTTAAATGAACAATCGTTTTATGCAGCAGAAAATGCAATATGTTCTTTGCTTATTGTGGAGAAAAAAAACCCTATAATTACAAAGCTGAAACTTAATATGACAGATTGCACTGGTGCTTAAACTCATTAAATTGTGCTTTACAGTGCTGGTGAGACATCATTTGACTTGTGCTTTCTCCATTATATGGTCTCCAAGTTTTCCTGGAATCAGTGACACAGTTACTATTAAGTTGCTGCAGAATTGTAATATCAATATGCCTTGCACATTTGCAAACAAACTGAGATCACGAGGCTGAGACACAAGTTCACATCCAGAATCTTACTGATTTCTTTCTAGTTAATCTTCCAGTAAAGCAAGTAAATTGAATTAAGGACTGCCCCCCCCCCCTCGCCCCCCTCCCGGCATATGGATAGATGGGTTTTGAGTTTGGCATTTTTTGCAGTGCACGGAAAGGATTTTACTATGTGCGCAGCCAGACCCCGCCTGCTCAGCGCGCGTCACTGGCGAGTAGTGTGTGGACGCGGAGTCACTCCCCTGCCTACTTTTAATAGCTTTGTCATGTGATGGAAAGCAGTTGTAAGACAGGTGCCCTCGGTTCATTCTCGGCGAGGGGCAGCAGTTGCCTCTGTGAGAGCGAGTGGGAAGCGTGTGTGGATTTCCTTTTTTTTTTTTTTACTTGGTTTCTTCCCCCCCCTTTTTTTTCTTTTTTTTTCTTTTTTGTTTAATTTTTCGGAGCGTCATTCAGTGGCTGGATGGCGTGGGACAGGTGTAACCAGGACTCGGTGTGGAGAGAATTAGAGGTGAGCGCATCAAATAAAATCCGGCTTCTTTCATCTCTCTAGCCCTCTGGACTTTTTTTTCTCCCCTCTGGAACGATGGACAACACTGGCACGATGATCTCCACATAAGTCTGCACTCTCTCCCTCTCTCCCTCTCTCTCTCTCTCTCTCTCCTCCTCTTCCTCCTCCTCTGTTGCCGGTGCTGTTCGTGGCTTAGTGCGCGTCTGGACACGGTTGAGGATGCGAGGGATATACGACACGGGAATATATGACAAGTGGAGGGAATGTGCGGAATCTCCCTTTTCAGCCCAGTTAAAGATGTAGTTGTTGTAACGCGTGCACGGGCTCGGGACCATTGCTCTCCACGTAGGATCCCTGTTTAGTCGGAGCAAGTGCTTGCAAGCTGGCGGATATCTTTCCAACCGCGGACTGTACGCGCTCCGGTGCCGAGAAGGTTTTCGTGCCGAAATGACTGAAATGTCTCAAAGTCAGGTATTTCGCTGACGCATGAAATCCAAAGACGAAAATAATCCCTTTGATGTGCTGTGTCCAGATAGCCAGGTGATTTTTTTTTTCAAATGCAAGTGCAAAGGTTGTCCACACTGACGCACCGGGTATCTGGCATTGCGCAGGAGCATGTTAATATTAACGGTACCGGTACCACGTCTGTGTGCCAACATTCCTGCCGGAGGAATGCTGCCCTGGCTGGACGGCAACATCGCGTCCAGCTAGAGTAGATCATTCCGTGTTCTTGCGAATTTATTTACAACATTCTGCTGATTTTAAACGCTTCATCCAAGTCATTAGCTCACTATCGCTCCTGTCTTTTTTTATATGCAGCTTACTTTACCTGGTTAAAGCGCATGCAGACAATAACGCACATCAAAAGGATACTTATTCGTCCCCCCTTTTTTTTACCCCTTAATCTTCCGAGTCCACCCAGCTTGTTATACAGAGGTACTTGTCTGCGTTCATTATCTCAGTGATGCCTCAGAGAGGGTTTTTCACAGTAACTACATGACTGCAATCCGGCTGCACGGCTGCGATTTTGTGGTCTGCGTGATCAGATTATGAGAAAGAAATCAGCTCTTATCTAATTAAAATGCGGCTCTGTGTGTACGTGTGTTTGTGTATCTGTATATGGACGTGTGTGTGTGTGTGTTTTGCAGACCGTTTTCGGGATTGTTTGTTATTCGGACACCCTCCTTTGCACTTACTTCCAGGTACGCTCCAGGAGAGCATCGTTTTTTTTTCCTTTTCTTTTCTTTTTTTTTAGACTGCGATTTTAGTTTCCACTTTCAACCCTACCAATGTGCGTGTCCTCCTTCAGCCGATCGATGCTGATAAAAAATGTATGCACGTATTAAAGCCCTGCTATTTAACTGTCAATCAGCGCCGCGCTCCTTACTTTAATAATCTCTCTAGCAGGTGCTTTTATGCGCGGTGCGTGCGTAAATCACCGGAGCGCTGTGGTGCACCCTGACTGTCTGTCTGGCGGCGCTATTTCATTAGTTCGCTAAGAAATCCATAAGATAATTGAGCACAGGGACGTCCATCCTCTGAATATCCTAACGGCTTTATTGCCATTTCTTCATTCCGTGTCTTGTCTGACTGGATCATCTGGGGGTGGGGGGAAACCTAAGACGCAGTGAATCTGTCCTCCTCTTCGCAGTCGCAACATAACGGATTTGTCTCATCACGGTCTTAAGTCATCGTGTATTCGTGTTGGTGCGTTTCCGAGGACAGATGAACTGTGACACCGGTGTCTGGGCGGTTTTTCCTTCTTGGCACAGCATCCGTCTCTCAGCTTTGCCCTGAGCCGAACCCGACTCTCACCCCTCCTCAGGCTCCGGGCCAAACACATCCGGGCTTCTTATGTCGTTCTTAAGGCCGGCGTTAATACATAAACAGACGCGTTGTCAAGGAGTGTGTAGACTACAGTATGAAGCTGTTTTCACAGGCTGGGTTCAGCATTTGCATAGTCAAAAGTGTAAACATGCAAACATCCCCCGCTCTGGGGGATTTTATTTTTTTAATTTTAATTTTTCCTTTTTAATGACCACTGACTCTCCGGTTCATAGTTTGCCCCAGAAGAAGCAGACTTTTGCTTGTTCAGCTGCTGGTTCAGGGGGGAAACAAACTCTCACACCCCCACATCTGATGATTTGTGTGTGGCAGAAGCTGTAACATCTTCTGCATACAGGACACACTGGATAGATTACATAAAAGTGGCTGGTGAATAACAAAATGTCAACAGGCAGCATTTAGTAGCGGGGAGGCCGTTACCAGTGGCAGTGTAAGCAGCACACTGGGAGGCTGAAGAGAAGCTGAGTGGAAACAGGTTGCGGGGCTTGCACGTTGTTGTGCAAAAACAAGCCCGTCAGAAAAGCTGTTCCGTTACTTATCGATGGAGCGACAGTGAGAGAAGTCATGAATTCCAGCTACTTAGTGTGTCACATGAAAGTGGCAGATCAGCAGAGGCATCCAGAATGATCAAATGAAGGAATTAGAACGTGAATTGTCACTAAGACGAGAAGCTCGGGCTCATAATACAAATGTATGAGTTCCCCTTGTCATGCCCAGATTACCAGTCCCTCTATTCTTTTGCAGGATGGCTCAGATAATTCATTTTCTGATTTGCACATGAAAGATCTGTCATTTCTGTCTAACCATCCATGATGTTTTTCTTTTTTTAATCTTTTCTCCAGTGTGCTGCCTTGGTTGGTGAAGACCAGCCCCTCTGCCCAGACTTACCTGAACTTGACCTCTCAGAGCTGGATGTCAGTGACTTAGACGCAGACAGTTTCCTGGGCGGCCTCAAATGGTACAGTGACCAATCAGAGATCATTTCTGCTCAGTATGGGAACGAAGCGTCCAATCTTTTTGAGGTAAGTACATAAATATCACAAATCCAGCTATTAACGGCCTTCATTAATGTCTTTCTCATTGTACGTGAATTATTCATAACACGGCTAGCAAAATGCCGTGGGACATTTTGCATCCATGGTCATTTCATTATTTGCTCTCCAAGGGGTCAGCACTGAGCTGGGATAAAAACACAGCCAGGCTATCGCATTCTTGAATGCAAGCCAAACACAATGCACAACTGTTGCCAGTTTACAAATACGCTTTTTGCAGGAGGAGTCGGTGTGAGGAATGATAAGCCCGAAAGGACTTTTGTCCCCTTTTTTGGACCCTGGCCGTGACGGGAGACAGCCTTATCAAATCGTGGAGCATTTATTTCAGTTCAGAGTTGGTAATGCGGCACACATCTGAAAGAACGCGTCCGTAGTAAATTTATAGTCGGGGCCGCTGTGTTGCAAAATGCTTCTCAAAGGTTGGAGTGTAAAACTTTAATCTTTGCCCCGCTTCACTTCTCTCCCCCTCTGCTTCTCTCTCTCTGCACTTCTGTACTATTCTTTCCATTGGACTCTCTTTCTTTTCTCACCCGGCGACAGACGTCAGCGGGTGATGATCTGGCCGAGGCCATAAAGCCATTGGTCTTGGGACTGAGTTCTAGTCCCCAGTTCATTATAAGCCTTTATCAGTGCCAGAGATAGACAAGAAAGACTGAGATTGGATGCTTTAGCCTCGCCTCAGGAGGAAAAACCCCATCTGAGAAGGCAGTGCATGTGTGTACCTGTAGCGCAGTCCTGTAGTCACACTCCCCGGGTCTCTGTTGTGTGTTTTGTGCGGCTGTGCGTGTCCTCAGTGGTCTTGCAGGGAACAGTTGATAACAGACTAAATTCTTTCCACCACTACTACCACCACCACCTTTATATCACCAGACATTCTCCCACCGTGGACCACCCCAACACACACACACACACACACACACACACACACACACACACACACACACACACACACACACACACACACACACAAAGGGGGGTGGTGGGGTCTTAAGTACTAGCTGGTGTGACTGTGGCTCCTCTGTCGTCTGAGAGTGATATGGCTTGCAGCCACCGAGTGGCTCAGGGGATGGATAAAAATACCAATGAGAGTGTATATGCGTGCGTGTGTGTGTCGTTTTTAAAACACAATGGAACTTAGCACCCACTGAGGACCCCGATGAGGGAACTAGCTCCGAGCGAGAAGCTGTGACTGACTTCCACTGTGAGCCTGAGCTTGTATTTGCGTGCCTACAAGTGCACATGCTCCCGCACACCTACGGCACGTGTCCGACAGCGCGTGAATGCCGTACGTCGCAGTAAGCGGGTGATGTTTTCATGCGCTCATCAAGCCAGCAGCTATTGTTTTATGCCAAGAATGTGGAAGGGCTTCCAATTAAGCAGTGAAAACTGGGGTTTCAAAGCAAGTAATACATTTCCCTGACCAGGGATTTTTCCATCTTTGGAAAGTTTCTAGTCACCATATGAAGCACTCAGTTCATCATACTGCAGGACCTAGTTAATCCTACTTAATCTGACAGAGGAAAGTTTGCTGCTCGGCAAGGATCAGAAGGCTGGGGGCTGCAGCTGTACTTCCTGCACCCCACCCCCTTGACTGGCTTCAACACAGAACAGAGAAGCATCCAGTGAAAAGTTAAAGATTAGAGAAATTGTTAATAACTGGCTAGATTTCAAGCCTGTAATTGTGTGTGTGTGTGTGCGCGCGCTCGCGTGTGTGTGTGCGCGCGTGTATATATATATATATATATTTTTTTTTTTTAAATGCATGTTCCTCTCCTTCCAAATAAATAAACCTCACTCACTGAGTCTGACTATATGTGCGTTCTGAGAAAAAGCAGGTAGCAGATCATCAAGGCTGTCTCCAAAAACGTGTAACAGCTGGGTGCAGCTGTCAAGCTGAGGCCCCTCTTTTTAAAGTTTACTCCCTGGAAGTTTGAACCTGCGTTCAGTTGTTAAGTGACTCAGCTGCTGAAACGGGTTGCAGCTTTGACAGAAGGAAAAACATGCCGCTGTTTCTTTTGCACCGGAGCATTTATTCCGGTTGCATTTTAATGCGACGCAGTACAGTAGCAAATGAGTAAACGGGGTCTGACTTGACAGTTGGGACAGGAAGTATTGCATCATGGAAATCATTGGGCCATTTTCACGCAGGGAGTGGGTAACGTCGCCAGCTTAAAGTAGGTTCGAGTACAGCAAGAGGTTAAAGTGATGGCGGTCCTTCTTTTACAAATACAGTGGGTCACTTTTACACAGCTTTATCTGGAGAATCTAAAGAAGCCCAAGCTAGGGTGTGCAAAGAAACAAAAAAACAACAAGAACAAAAAGTGGCATTTGAACAGTCGCCATTGCTGTTGTCATCACCACTAACAGGCCTCCTATGTGCATGCCTGTCTTTTAATGTGACTCTGTGCATTTCAGGCTAGTGCCATGCTAACTCTTTCCACCATAACACCAAATTTGAAGACCTCCCCTGTACCATTAATGACATGCTTTGACTCATTCGTGTATATCAATCAAGACTTGGTTTGACGACCATTAGAATAGTTTCCAGGTTTTTCAAAGGGTAGCTGCATAGCCAGAGACCACCCTCTGATGCACACGCAGTCATTTTGTTCTATAAGCAGGCCTAAAACATGACAGAAACCGCTCAGTTCAGAACAGACCTTCAATGGTTCCTCATAGTTGGCTTTCAAGGGGTAAAGAGTTAAAAGTGATATGTGGCTTTTACTGGGTTGGTTGCATAAAAAGAGTGCATCCCTTTGAAGGTCTTTATTTTCTTATTAAGGGGTCGATGGGAAGTGTTTGCACACTTTTTAAGCAGCATGTGTGTGTAAAAATACTCTGTCTGTGTCTGTTTCTGTGTGTATATGCGTTCTGTTCTGGAAGCAGTGCTTGGTATTAGATCACAAGCTGTCCCCTGGCTGGCCTTTTGCTCCTTTCCCTGCCACTGTCCCAACTGTCCCTGACACCAATGTAGAGAATGATACACCCCCACCTCCCCTCTGTAACACACACACACACACACACACACACATAAAAGCTATTGCTCCTGGCCCGGCTTGTTTGACACCTCTTCAAAACGGGCCGACTGTGAAAGTCCACGGTCTATTTTGGGCTGCAGTTGTTGAGGGGTAGTTACTCCAATAAGTTCCCAATGTACTGCCAAAGATAACAGCATAGAAGTGTGACCCAGTGTCTTTGGAACCACAGGTCTCTACTCAGATTTCGTGTCAACCGTTTGAGTGATGGAAATGTGTCACACTGGTCTGGGCTTAATTCAAATTCCACTGTGGACGTCCTAGCGGCGGTCCCTCAGGGACGTGGGACGGTCACATCACATGTATGCATGGGAAGGCATTTACAGCTGTTCTCTGCTGCGAGTTAGCCTGCGGTATTATGAAAGAAAACTGGCTCCGAGTGCAACTTTTGGCATGTCAGGGCTGCCTATACCTCGATACGTGTGAGATGCGCTTATGATAGATAGACAGGTGGAAAGACAGGACAAGGGTGAGATAAAGAGTGAAACAAAGAGGAAAGAGCAGCAAATGACAGGACAGATGCAGAGGCATGGGGACAGATGGATGGTGAAAACGTATAGACCAGGAGGGCCTTGGGCTTGTGCCAGCCCGAACCAAAGCCCCTGGATTGGAAGTAAAATGTTATGGGCTTAGTATGTAGTAAAATAAGAAGCCGAGGCTTAAAGCATTATTCAGATATCATACAGAGACGTGCCGTGAGAGCATGCATGTGGTCCGTGTCACGTATGAAAACTCTTTATATTACTCCAACAGGATGCTGTGTGTTCAGAATGTGTGTGTGTATGTGATGGCACTCGCCTTCAAAAGGCATTATGGTGCTTTGTCTTGTTTTGTTTTTGCCTTATTGGACAGATGCTCAGGCGCTTATTCTTAAGTAAAGGCAGATTAGATTGATTGGGTCATCTTTAGAAGGCTTTGATAAAACATGCTGTGATGAAATGTTTTCCTCAAGCAGCCCTGCCTACTTGTGTAAGCACAGATTAGCTCACACACTTGTTGGCGTTATAGCTCCTGTCAGCTGAAACAGGAACAAGCACAAAAAGCCATAGACCCTCTGAGAGGAATTGTCACGCCCACACACACACATATACACACACACACACACACACAGCAGAGACCCTTATTGTCCCTGTTCCTACTCCCTGCTGAATGCCGGTTGCGTTTATTTTGCAAATTTATGCTGACATTTGAGAGTACACCACCCGCATCAGTTCACTGCTCCAGCAAAGGGTGTATGAATTATCATATTCCTCTGTATAATATGATTTTCTCAAGTGAGTCTTATTAGAATACACCATACTTTCCTCATCTCGAGTTCCCTTCAGTTTTACTGTGCCGAGACATTGTTTGCACTGTCTGCTGGAAGAAATCCTCCATCACTGTCGAGCTGAAGGCAAGCCGCGGCTTTCGGGCCCGCAGCTCTGCTGTGCCGCTCCGTTTCAAGACTCATAAATGAGAGGGAGCGCAGACAAATAGGCTCAGATGTATAGTAGAGAGAGATGCCGACATGGGTTGTCCAAGCCTGTGTCATCTCGGAGCATCTGTCAGATCCACTCCACAACAAGAGCTCTCAACCCGCCTGCCCCATAACACTGTAGGCTCCCTTTTCCGCCTCTCTCCCGCTCTCTGTCTTTTCACTCCCAAGGCAAGGCATTTGTCCCTGGCTCATGGCAAGTTGGAGCAGCAGTGGCTAAACAAATATATTCTGGCCCCCCAACAGTCGCTTCTGGAAGGAAAGGCTGGAAGGGAGATGGGAGCAAAGGAGGAGGGAAAAAAATAAAAGGATAGTAAGCAGAATGGTGAATATAGCCAAAATAAAGTCCCCACAGGGAATGTTTGGAAAAAGAGCAAGGGAACATCTTTGGGTCTGGTGGTGGCTGCTTGGCTTCCCTGTCTAGTCCCCCCTACCCTCATCTCTCTCTCTCACACACACTC